TCTGGTGTTTTGTTGTTGTTTTATTTTCACCTCGACACAAAAAAACAAAACAACAAACAGGACTGTGAGGCTCAAGGGCACAAGGGCAGAGACTGAACCAGCAAAATCAGATCAGTCCAGAGCTGAAAACCAGGACCAGAAACAGACTAAACAAAGACCAGGACTAGAACCGGACTAAATATAACAGTTTTGTGTTTTTGTGTCTGAGCTAAAAATATTTAAACGTGAGAAATGAATCTAAAAACAGCTCAAAGTGTCAAAGCAGAACTGAACCAGGACTAAAACAGGACTAAAACAGAGGAAACACTTAAACCTGGTGTAGTCCTGGTGTAGTCCTGGTCTAGTCCTGGTGTAGTCCTGGTCTAGTCCTGGTTCAGTCCTGGTTTGTCCTAGTCCTGGTCTAGTCTAGTCCTGGTTTAGTCCTGGTTCAGTTCGGTCTAGTCCTGGTTTAGTCCTGGTTCAGTCCTGGTCTTAGTCCTGGTTCTAGTCCTGGTTAGTCCGGTTCTAGTCCTGGTCTAGTCCTGGTTTAGTCCTGGTTCAGTCCCGGTTTAGTCCTGGTCTAGTCCTGGTTTGTGATGATGTAATGTGGTTGGTCCTGATGCCGTCTCCATGGAAACTGTTTCTCTCTTTTCTCTGGATCTGGGTCAGGTTCATTCGGCTCGTCTCAGAAAATCCCTCGAAGATCTCACCCAGACCTGGACCCGGACCCGGACCCACGGGGGCCCGGGGCTTTTCACCCGTCCTCCAAACACTCCGCTCCACCCTGTGATGTCATCAAGTGAACGGCTCCTTTTCCCTTTAGTTCAGTCGAGATCGGAAAGTCCACGACTGAAATGATCCAGATGATTCTAGTGAAGGTGTGTGGAGTTTAAAAACACAGTGGAGCTCTTCCTGTATCACCACATGATGACATCACGAGGTGGAGCAGGGGGAGGGGGAGGAGTCAGGTGGGGCGTTTATGAAAGAGACAAACATGGAGCTCGTTCTGAAAACACATGAGGTCAGAGTTTGGCTCCGGGACCGAGGACCAGATGGACCTGGACTTGGACCTGGACTTGGACCAGGACCGGACTCTGTGGGGTCCTGGGGGAGGGGAGGGGGGGGGAGGGGGGGGGGGGGGTGTTTTTATTTTGTTTTTTTTTTACATTTGAGAAAAGGATGAAATTAAAAAGGGAACAGTTTAAACGAGGTGAGAAAAACGAAGAGATTATAAATGACGGAACAAAAGAGGAGAGAGAGAAAGAAAGAGAAGAGGAGGAGAGAGGGAATAAAAGATGGAGAGAGAGAGAGAGAGAGAGAGAATAAAAGATAGAGAGAGAGAGAGAGAGAATAAAAGATGGAGAGAGAGAGAGAGAGAATAAAAGATGGAGAGAGAGAGAGAGAGAATAAAAGATGGAGAGAGAGAGAGAGAGAGAATAAAAGATGGAGAGAGAGAGAGAGAGAGAATAAAAGATGGAGAGAGAGAGAGAGAGAGAGGGGGGGGGAGAGGAGATGGATGAGATCAGAGGAGAAGAGAGAGAAAGAGGGATAGAAGAGGAGGAGGAGAGGGGATGAGTGATGCGGCAGATTCATCAACAGATTTCAAATTCAGCGTCAAAATGAGTCACAAGAAATACTCATGAAAGACGACCAGCTCAGACCTGGTTTAGTCCTGATTTAGTCCCGGTTTAGTCCTGATTTAGTCCTGATTTAGTCCCGGTTTAGTCCTGGTTTAGTCCTAGTTTAGTCCTGGTTTAGTCCTGATTTAGTCCCAGTTTAGTCCTGATTTAGTCTTGGTTTAGTCCTGGTTTAGTCCTGATTTAGTCCTGATTTAGTCCTGGTTTAGTCCTGGTTTGGTCCTGGTTTAGACCTGGTTTAGTCCTGATTTAGTCCCGGTTTAGTCCTGATTTAGTCCTGATTTAGACCCGGTTTAGTCCTGGTTTAGTCCTGGTTCAAATAGTAGTAGTTTGTTTTAGCAGCATTTGTCCCCGTGTTGAAGTGCCTCTTTAACGAGGTGGAGGGTTTGAGTGATCCTGGAATCATCCTGGGATCATCCTGGAATCATCCTGGAATCATCCTGGGATCATCCCTGGGATCATCCTGGAATCATCCTGGAATCATCCTGGGATCATCCTGGAATCATCCTGGAATCATCCTGGATCATCCTGGGATCATCCTGGAATCATCCTGGGATCATCCTGGAATCTGGATCCTGGAATCATCCTGGGATCATCCTGGGATCATCCTGGAATCATCCTGGATCATCCTGGAATCATCCTGGGATCATCCTGGGATCATCCTGGAATCATCCTGGAATCATCCTGGGATCATCCTGGGATCATCCTGGAATCATCCTGGGATCATCCAGGAATCATCCTGGGATCATCCTGGGATCATCCTGGAATCATCCTGGGATCATCCTGGGATCATCCCTGGGATTCCTGGGTCTGTGTTGTCGGGGTCTTCGTGCTCCTGGTCTCTGCTCTGACTCGTCCTCTGGGGTCAGACTCTGAGTGGGTCACAGTCTCTTTGTGAAGAGAAACATTCAGAGGTCGGTGGCGTCGCCCGGTTGGCGTCGCCCGGTTGGCGTCGCCCGGTTGGCGTCGCCCGGTTGGCGTCGCCCGGTTGGCGTCGCCCGGTTGGCGTCGCCCGGTTGGCGTCGCCCGGTTGGCGTCGCCGGGGCCTCAGCCTGGAGCCAGTGTCTGGAGGACGTCTAGACCAGATCCACAGATGAGTTTCCTCCGCTGGGCGTCCGGGCGTCTCCCTCAGAGACGGAGCTCGGAGTAGAGCCGCTGCTCCTCCACGTGGAGAGGAGCGGGACGATGTCTCTGGACTGGACTGGGAACACCTCAGGTCCCCCTGGAGGAGCTGGAGGAAGTGTCTGGGGTGAAGGAAGTCTGGGAGTCTCTGTTCAGACTGATGCTCCGAGACTCGACCCCAGAGAAGAAGAAGAACATGGAGGATGATTATTATTATAATTATTATTAATATGTAGAAAAAGTATTTTTATTATTTGCAGTAGTAGTAGTAGTAGTAGTAGTAGTATTTGTAGTAGTAGTAGTATTTGTAGTATTTGTAGTATGTGCAGTTCTGTGTGTCTGTTATTGACTCTGGTGTCGAAGTTTTCATTGATCCAGGACTGGAGCCAACTGGATCTGGACCAGGACCAGACCAGGCCAAGGACTCACCAAGGTCAGACACAGAAACAAGACCAGGACTAGACCAGGACTAGACCAGGACTAGACCAGGACCAGACCAGGACTGAACCCAGACTTCAGTGTGGGGGTCAGTTCAGTCCACAGAGATTTGACCTGGTTTTCTCCACATCAATATTTAATACTCCAATAATAAACCAGGACTAAACCAGAACTAAACCAGGACTAAACCAGGACTAAACCAGAACTAAACCAGGACTAAACCAGGACTAAACCAGGACTAAACCAGAACTAACCAACCAGGACTAAACCAGACTAAACCAGGACTAAACCAGGACTAAACCAGATCTACACCAGGACTAAACCAGGACTAAACCAGGACTAAACCAGGACTAAACCAGGACTAAACCAGGACTAAACCAGGACTAAACCAGATCTACACCAGGACTAAACCAGGACTAAACCAGGACTAAACCAGATCTACACCAGGACTAAACCAGGACTAAACCAGATCTACACCAGGACTGAACCTGGACTGAACCAGTCTAGTCCTGATCTCTGTGGGTGGATGATGTTTATGTCAATTTTAATGAATTATTAAAAAGATGAAAGTTTAATGAGGAGCAGACAGGAGCAGACAGGAGCAGACAGGAGCAGACAGGAGCAGACAGGAGCAGACAGGAGCAGACAGGAGCAGACAGGAGCAGACAGGAGCAGACAGGAGCAGACAGGAGCAGACAGGAGCAGACAGGAGCAGACAGGAGCAGACAGGAGCAGACAGGAGCAGGACAGCAGACAGGAGCAGACAGGAGCAGACAGAGAGCAGACAGGAGCAGACAGGAGCAGACAGGAGCAGACAGGAGCAGACAGGAGCAGACAGGAGCAGACAGGAGCAGACAGGAGCAGACAGGAGCAGACAGGAGCAGAGGGGGGATGATCCTGGTCTGGGATCTTTTCATGAACAGATTTCTGTGAAATATCTGAATCTAAAAAATGACAAATGTGCAACTAAACCAGGACTAAACCAGGACTAAACCAGGACTAAACCAGGACAGGACTAAACCAGGTCTAAACCAGGACTAAACCAGGACTAAACCAGGACTAAACCAGGACTAAACCAGGACTAAACCAGGACTAAACCAGACTAAACCAGAACTAAACCAGGACTAAACCAGGACTAAACCAGGCTTAAACCAGGACTAAACCAGGACTAAACCAGGACTAAACCAGGACTAAACCAAACTAAACCAGGACTAAACCACTAAACCAGGACAAACCAGGACTAAACCAGGACTAAACCAGGACTAAACCAGGTCTAAACCAGGACTAAACCAGGACTAAACCAGGACTAAACCAGGACTAAAACCAGACTAAACCAGGTCTAAACCAGGACTAAACCAGGACTAAACCAGGTCCAGGACTAAACCAGGACTAAACCAGGACTAAACCAGGTAAACCAGGACTAAACCAGGACTAAACCAGGTCTAAACTAAACCAGGACTAAACCAGTCTAAACCAGGACTAAACCAGGACTAAACCAGGACTAAACCAGGTCTAAACCAGGACAAACCAGGACTAAACCAGGACTAAACCAGGACTAAACCAGGTCTAAACCAGGTCTAAACCAGGACTAAACCAGGACTAAACCAGGTCTAAACCAGACTAAACCAGACTAAACCAGGACTAAACCAGGAAACCAGGACTAAACCAGGACTAAACAGGACTAAACCAGGTCTAAACCAGGACTAAACCAGGACTAAACCAGGTCTAAACCAGGACTAAACCAGGACTAAACCAGGACTAAACCAGGTCTAAACCAGGACTAAACCAGGTCTGACCTCATGACAAACCACAAACACACATTTT